GGGGACAGCCGTGAGCCACTCTGGGGACAGTCCTGAGCCACTCTGGGGACAGTCCTGTGCCAGCCCGGGGACAGTCCTGTGCCAGCCTGGGGACAGTCCTGTGCTGGCCCGGGGACAGCCCTGAGCCAGCCTGGGGACAGTCCTGTGCCGGCCCGGGGACAGCCCTGTGCCAGCCTCTTGTCGTGGCTGCACGTGATACTTGGGATGTCCCTTCTTTCCTGGGACAGTTCTAGTCCTGGGTGGGACTTTTTTTTCGGGGAGGGAAGATGGGACAGGGAGGGGACAAACCTCCAGTCTTGGGGAGCCCTCCAGGACAGTCCCTTTCCCCCCCCCAGTTTCGGCAGAACCTGCAGGATGTGCTGCCCTCCCTGCCCTCCCAGGACGACCATTTCCTCCTGAAATGGCTTCGAGGTAACCGCGGGGGTGAGGGACACACAGGGGGCGGGGGGGCTGGAAGGCTCCAGGGGTGGTTGCAGACACGGGTGGGCCCCCCGGGCTGACGCTGAGCTCTCTTGCAGCGCGTGGCTTCGACCTGCCCAAGTCGGAGGCGATGCTGCGCAAGGTGAGAGGACACCTCCAGCTCCCAGGTGCCTCCTGGGGGTGGGACGCCATGGCATGAGCCACCACCCCAGCCCCTTTCCCCCTCCTTGGGGGTGACCTGCCCATGGGGTGCCCCCAAAACCCCTCACCCTGGCTCCGTGCCCCCCTCGCAGCACGTCGAGGTCCGGAAGCACATGGATGCCGACAACATCATCGCCTGGCAAGCCCCCGAGGTGGGTGTCCTTGGATGGGACTGTCCCCATCCATCCCCCCACCCTGGGGGGCTGTGCTGTGTCCCCCCCTGCCAAAAAGGTGATCGGGAAGTACATGCCGGGGGGGCTGTGGGGGTACGACCGGGAGGGCAGCCCCATCTGGTACGAGATCATCGGGCCGCTGGACGCCAAGGGGCTGCTCTTCTCCGCCTCCAAGCAGGACCTCATCAAGAACAAGTTCCGTGACTGCGAGGTGCTGCGCCAGGAGTGCCAGCAGCAGAGCCAGAAGGTGGGCTCCCACCTGCCCGTGGCCCACTGGACCCACCAGCTCATGTCCTCACTCTCCCCACCAATCCTCATCTCCACCACCTCCTGTCCATCCCCACCAGCCCATGTCTCCACTGTCCCCACCAGCCCCCTAAGTCCATGTCTCGTCCATCTCCACCACCTCCTGTCCTCTGCAGCCCCTTAAGTCCCAATCCTGGCAGTCCCCACACCCACTGTCCTCAGCCCCACAAGTTCATGTCCTGTCCATCCCCCCAGCCCACGTCCCCGAGCCTGTGTCCCTGTCCCAGCACCCACACCAGTGATGCCCCTTCTCCGACACTTGGGAGGAGGCTCTGGCCAGGGGGGACCAGCCCATTGGGGACCACCCTGTCCCCAGGGCTGGCCAGAAGCCCCCTCCCACGGGTCCCTGCAGGGGCCGGGTGCTGCCTGACCCTCCCGCCGTCCTCCTGTCCCAGTTGGGCAAGCACATTGAGATGGTGATGATGATCTATGACTGCGAGGGCCTGGGCTTGAAGCACCTCTGGAAACCTGCTGTGGACACCTACGGGGAGGTGAGGAGGCAGTGACCACAGCTGTCCCTGTCCCACGGCCGGGACACGGTGACGCAGGGATCTGGGCTGACTCATGGCCCCGAGAGATGACACAAGAGGCTCCCCCTGACATTTTGGGGTGGGGGTCCCAGCCTGCACCGTGCTCTGCTCCCCCCTGCCCTGGTGGGTATGTGGGATGGGGGTGACCTGAAGCTCTCACCCCCCGTCCTGCAGATCCTGTCCATGTTTGAGGAGAATTACCCCGAGTCCCTCAAACGCCTGTTCATCGTGAAGGGTGAGCTCAGCCCCGGGGCCCCCCTCCCCCCAGCTGGGTGCTGAACCCCCCCCACACA